GGCCTCCCAGCTACCAGGCTAAACACTTAGTACTTACCAGCAAATTTCTTTCTTTTTTTTTTTTTTTAAGATTTATTTATTTATTTGTATGTCAGAGTTACATAGAAAGAGAAGGAGAGGTAGAGAGAGAAATCTTCCATCCACTGGTTCACCCCCCAATTGACTGCAACGGCTGGAGCTGTACCGATTTGAAGGCAGCAGCCAGGAGTTCCTTCTGGGTCTCCCACACAGGTGCAGGGGTCCAAGGACTTGGGCCGTCTTCCACTGCTTTCCCAGGCCACAACAGAGAGCCGGGTCGGAAGTGGAGCAGCCAGGACTCGAACTGGTGCCCACATGGGATGCCAATGTGGGCTGCAGCTTAACCCACTATGGCCCCGCAGCAAATTTCTTAGCAATGCAAATTTGTGGGCCCCATCCTAGACCTTCTGAATCAGAGACTCTGGGATTGGCCCCACAATTTGTGTTTTTACTATTCTCCCAGGTGATTCTGATGCACACTGAAGTTTGAGAGCTAGTATTCTTTTTTTTTTTTTTTTTTTTTTTTTTTTTAGCATTTATTTGAAAGTCAGAGATAGAGATAGCAAGAGAGAAAGAGAAAGAGAGAGAGATCTTCCATCCTCTGATTGACTCCCCAGATGGCTGCATTGGATAGGACTGGGCCAGGCTGAAGAAAGGAGCCAAAAGCTTCATCCAGGTCTCCCAAGTATGTGGCAGGGGCCTAAACACGGGCCATCTTCTGCTACTTTTCCTAGCCATCACCAGGTAGCTGAATTGGAGGTGGAACAGCCGTCACAGGAACTGCCACCCAGATGGGATGCCAGCATTGCAGGCAGCAGCTTTACCCTTTGTGCCTCAACATCAGCCCTCCCCTTGCCTTTTAAACAAAAACAAAACTGCAACATTTGAAGAAAACATTGGAGAAAAATTTTGTGACTTTCAGTTAGATAAAAATTCCTTAGATGCAGTACAGAAAGTTAGATCCATTTCATTTAGTTAATTAATTGCAAACTCTATAAAATGAGTGTTTACCTTAACAATTATATTGTGTTCCTGGAGAGGCTCTTTAGGATACAACGAAGATTACATTAAGGACTGCAAATTTGAATTTTGATCTAACTCTGTCCTGCCCTCTCAGGGAAAAACTGAAATTACATAAAGGGAAGTCTGTCACAGAGCCTAGGCAACCTGCTTCTCAATTCCTGACCACTCCTCTCATAAACTCCCTTCTTCTGTCTGCTTGACTGCAGCTGTATCTCTTGGCTTCCTTCTTGTCATCTTAATTATTTCTTTTTTTTTTAAAATATTTAATTGAAAGAGTTACAGAGAGATGTAGAACCAGATCCTCCATCCGCTGGCCTACTCCCTAAACGGCTGCAGCAGCTGGAGCTATGCTGATCTGCAGCCAGGAGCTAGGAACCTCCTCTGGGTCTTCCTATGTGGGTGCAGGGCCCAAGCACCTGGGCCATCCTCCACTGCTTTCCTAGGCCACAGCAGAGAGCTGGATCAGAAGTGGAGCAGGTGGGACTCGAACCGGTGCCCATATGAATGCCAGCTTTGCAGGCGGTGGCCCCACCCACCACACCAGAGCTCTGGCCCCTGTCAGCTTAATTACTTCTTCATTTTTCCAGATTAGACATGAAAAAAGGAAATCTGAAAGGCCTGGGTCATTTATTTCTTATTCTACACCACTACAGGTTGGCGCTGTGGTGTAATAGGTAAAGTCACTGCCTACAGTGCTAGCATCCCATATGGGCACTGATTTAAGTCCCAGCTGCTCCTCTTCTGATCCAACTCTCGGCTATGGCCTAGGAAAGCAATGGAAGATGGCTCAAGTTCATCTCCCACCCACATGGGAGACCTGGAAGAAGACATTGGCTCCTGGCTTTGAATCGGCACAGCTCCGGCCGTGGTGGCCAGCAGGGGAATGAACCAATAGATGGAAGACCTCTCTCTGTCTCTTTGCCTCTGCCTTTCCTTCTCTCTGTGTGTAACTCTGACTTTTATTTTTTTAATTTTTATTTATTTATTTATTATTTTTTTGACATGCAGAGTGGACAGTGAGAGAGAGAGAGAGACAGGGAGAAAGGTCTTCCTTTTCCCTTGGTTCACCCTCTAATGGCTGCTGTGGCCAGCGCACCGTGCTGATCCGAAGCCAGGAGCCAGGTGCTTCCTCCTGGTCTCCCACACAGGTGCAGGGCCCAAGCACTTGGGCCATCCTCCACTGCACTCCTGGGCCATAGCAGAGAGCTGGACAGGAAGAGGAGCGACCGGGACAGAATCTGGCGCCCCGACTGGGACTAGAACCAAGTGTGCTGGTGCCGCAGCGGAGGATTAGCCTAGTGAGCCGTGGCGCCGGCCTGTAACTCTGACTTTCAAGTAAATAAATAAATAAATCTTTAAAAATATATATATACCACTAAATAGGTGCAATCAACCTGCATTATAGTTCTGTCATCAATGGCTAGGGGTCCAGTAGACAGAGACATAAGGAGGGGTGCCCAAGGTAAGGGGTGGATGTAGATCACTGGTATATAAAATGTGTACTGCACAGCTAACTGGCCCATGAGCAAGGGCGAACTGTGGATATAACAAACACCATGATAGGCATAGTTGGTATAAAGTAAAATATTAATATTCCTATTGTCTTCCCCCAGAAATCATTGTCCATCAGCTGTCTTCCACTAATGGCTCCCTCATTGTCTAGCCCTCTCCTAAACCAATTCGTAACACTGGTGAGGTGACTATGTAGAGAGAGAGAGCTTTTGTCTGTTATCTCAGTCCGAGGTAGAAGACCCATGGTATCTTGGGCCGATGATAGAATCTTGGATTAGTTGGTAGTTATCACAAATCATTTCATAGATCTCCCTGCCTCTGGGTATAATATGCCGAAATCAGGCCTTTCAAATGAGCAATAATCTGTCCTTTGTACTTTAGTCCATTTCTATATCAACAACTCTCAGGGCTAATTCTTCATAGTATTTTGTCCATATTTTTCTTTTTTTCTTTTTTTTTCTTTCTTTTTCTTTTTTTTTTTTTTTTTTGACAGGCAGAGTGGACAGTGAGAGAGAGAGACAAAGGTCTTCCTTTTGCTGTTGGTTCACCCTCCAATGGCTGCGGCGGCCGGCGCACTGTGGCCAGCGCACCGCGCTGATCTGAAGCCGGGAGCCAGGTGCTTCTCCTGGTCTCCCATGGGGTGCAGGGCCCAAGCACTTGGGCCATCCTCCACGGCACTCCCTGGCCATAGCAGAGAGCTGGCCTGGAAGAGGGGCAACCAGGACAGAATCTGGCGCCCCGACCGGGCTAGAACCTGGTGTGCCGGCGCCGCAAGGCGGAGGATTAGCCTAGTGAGCCGTGGCGCCAGCCTTTTGTCCATGTTTTTCCTGATGAGCTTCATAGTGTCAATCCTATATTGGTCATCCTGTTCCATGAGTCTAGTGTTTCTCTTTTTCTTGCATGATGTTTAATCTGTGACTTTTCCCCTTCTCCATTAATAATTACTTTTTTGAAAAAAAAAAAAAAACTGTCTTATATTTCTCTCTCACTCAAAGAAACTACTACCAAAAAAGTGACATATACATATGTTGTTTAATAATTTTCACCTAGGGCCTGTTTTACGGTGTAGCAAGTTAAGCTGCTGCCTGCAACACTGGCATTCCATATGGGCACTGGTTCATATCCTAGCTGCTCCATTTCTTCCTTTCTTTTCTTTTTTTTTTTTTTTTATAGTTTGCAACTGTTTCTACTTTACTTATTTTTTTTACGTAGAAACCTTTTATTTAAGATATACAAACTTCATGCATTTCATATATACAAATTTAGAGTCGTAGTGATTCTTTCCACCCTACCCTCCCTTCCATCCACACTCCCACCTTTCTTCTTCCTCCCCTATTCCCATTCTTATTTTTTACAAAGATCTATTTTCAATTAACTTTATACTCATAAGATTAGCACTATACTAAGTAAAAAGTTCAACAAATAGTATTTAAAAAAGCAAAACTGTTCCTCAACAGTTGAGACAAGGGCTATTCAAAATCATCACATCTCAAAGTGTCAATTTCATTTCTATAGATTTCCTTTTAGGTACTCTATTAGTTACCACATATCAGGGAGAACATATGGCATTTGTCTTTTTGAGACAAGCTTATTTCACTAAGAATGATGGTTTCCATTTTCATCCATTTTGTTGCAAATGACAGGATTTCATTTTTTTAAACTGTAGGAATAGGTATTCTTATGGGGGTACAAATACCAATAAATTCCTTTTTTTTTTTTTTTTTTTTTGACCAGGCCAGAAGTGGGCCAGTAAGAGGAGAGAGAAGAGAGAGGCCAAAAGGTCTTCCTTTTGCCGTTGGTTCACCCTCCAATGGCCGCTACGGCCAGTGCGCTGCAGCCAGCGCATCACGCTGATCCGAAGCCAGGAGCCAGGTGCCAGGTGCCTCTCCTGGTCTCCCATGCGGGTGCAGGGCCCAAGCACTTGGGGCATCCTCCACTGCACTCCCAGGCCATAGCAGAGAGCTGGCCTGGAAGAGGGGCAAGCGGGACAGAATCTGGCGCCCCGACCGGGCTAGAACCTGGTGTGCTGGTACCGCAAGGCGGAGGATTAGCCTATTGAGTCACGGCGCCGGCCACCATAATTTCTTTTATCCAGTTTTCAGTTGATGGACATTTGAGTTGATTCCATATCTTAGCTGTTGTGAATTGAGCTGTAGCTGCTCCACTTCTGAACCAGCTCCCTGCTAATGGCCTGGGAAAGGAGAATGGCCCAAAGTGCTAGGGCCCCTGCACAAATGTGGGAGACCTGGAGGAAGCTCCTGGCTTCAGCCTGGCCCAACCCTATCTGTTGTGGTCATCTGGGCAATGAGCCAGCAGATGGAAGATTTCTCTCTCTCTCCCTCTCTCTTTGTTGCTCACTTTCAAATAAGTAATCTTTTTTTTTTTTTTAATTATAATCTTTTGTTTAGACTAACTTTTTTGGCTTCTCACTTGGTATTCCCAAACAGGCATCCCTGAACAGAAGCTGCCTATATCGCTCACCCTCGATGCCAGAGGGTCTGAATGGGCCAAGACTAAAGCAGGTAAAATCCAAGGACAGCACGATACCAAATAAAGTATACAAAAAGTATTGTTCTGGCTATAAGATGTTCAGGAAGGTAAGAGGTTTTTAAGATCAGAACCTGTTGTTCTTTCTCATTGTCCTCTCTGTTCTGGTCTGGGAATTGTTTTTTTGTCTTTTTCCTTTTCCTTGTCTATATTTGATCTTTGCTGCTTTTTTTTCTGTTCTTTATCTATATACATACATAAAATATTTAACAATAAATATGTTATGGGCTGGCACTGTGGCACAGTGGGTTAAAGCCCTGGCCTGAAGTGCCCTCATCCCATATGGGTGCCAGTTCTAGTCCCAGCTGCTCCTGTTTTGGTCCAGCTCTATGTGATAGCCTGCAAAAGCAGTAGAAGATGGCCCAAGACTTTGGGCCCCTGAACCCACGTGGGAGACCTGGAAGAAGCTCCTGGTTCCTGCCTTCATCAGCACAGCTCCAACCATTGTGGCCATCTGGGGAGTGAACCAGCAGATAAAAGACCTCTCTCTCTCTGTCTCTTCCTCTCTCTGTAACTCTTTCAAATAAATAAAATAAATCTTTTTTTTTTTTAAAAAGACTTATAAAAAATAAAATAAATGTTATAGCATAGTTTGAGAAGTGATGTCATCATACTGTCTTTACAGCCTTTTTTTTAAGCAACTATTTAGGTTATCTCTTCATTGTCTTTTTTTCTTTTTTAAGATATTTATTTATTTGAAAGGCAAAGTTACAGAGAGACAGAGGCAGAAACAAAGAGAGAGGTCTTCCACCTGCTGGTTCACTCTCCAGATGATTGCAACGGCCAGAGCTGAGCCGATCCAGAGCCAGGAGCCTGAAGTCTCCCATGTGGCTACAGGGACCCGAGGACTTGGGCTATCCTCAACTGCTTTCGCAGCCCATAGCAGAGAGCTGGATGGGAAACAGAGTGGCCAGGACTTGAACCAGCACCCATGTGGGATGCTGGCAATGCAGGCAGCAACTTTTCCTGCTACGCCACAGCGCCGACCCCTACAACTTTTTATTTATTTATTTTTATGATACATAAGAATATCCTCCATCTAATACATTAAAAGAAAGTAAGTACTTGAGAACAACTTATATCATTAATTAAGGAAGCACCTAAGAAAACAAACAATGGAGATGGACACTTAGGCATAACTCAAACTTAAGAGATATAAGAATATCCTCTACTTAATACATTAAAATGAGATGAATAAATCTTTGAGAAACAAGTTTTTTGTTGTTGTTTTTTGTGTTTTTTTTGACAGGCAGAATTAGACAGTGAGAGAGAGAGAGACAGAGAGAAAGGTCTTCCTTTTTTGCCGCAGGTTCACCCTCCAATGGCCGCTACCTCTGGCGCTATGCTGATCCAAAGCCAAGAGCCAGGTGCTTCCTCCTGGTCTCCCATGCGGGTGCAGGGCCCAAGCACTTGGGCCATCCTCCACTGCCTTCCTGGACCACAGCAGAGAGCTGGACTGGAAGAGGAGCAACTGGGACAGAATCTGGTGCCCCGACCAGGTCTAGAACCTGGTGTGCTGGCGCCGCAGGCAGAGGATTAGCCAAGTGAGCCACAGCACCGGCTTAGAAACAAGTTTTACTGTTAACTCTCATAATACAACTCTTTGAGGGCAGAGGTCCTGTGTGGGAAGTTAGTGCACAATGACAACCTTCTTTTCTAAAATCTGAGAGAATGCAGGGGAACCTAACTGGGATGGAGCCTTACTACTGCTCTGTGCAGTCTGCAGAAATCTCAGAAAACAGAAGTGTGATAGAAAGCCACTTCCAAAAAACTTAACCCTTGTTCTCCTTTTAAAAAATTCTAAATATCACTAGATATTTTAAAACCAGTATATGATACCATAGGAAAATTAAAAATCAAAATGAGCAAAAAGCAGCTAGTGTAAAATACTCATAATCTCACATGTCAGAAATAATTACAGTTAGCACTTGATGTATGGTCTTCTAGGCCTTTTTACCTATCTTGTATTAAAGTGGTATTACAAAGAACATGATTTGTAACACATTTAATGATACCATAAACTTATTTCCATGTCACTAAAATTAACCAACACCATACTTTTTACTCTATCATGGCAATCTATAATGCATGGAATGTGATTTGTTTAACCAAGACCCTATAAGATTTATTAGTATTTGTGTCCTGTTATGAACATGCTGGGTTATCCATCCTTATTGTCAAGTGCTTATGCTTATCTTTATTTTCTTGGGGAAAGGAGTGCAATTACTTGATCAACAGATATGCTATTATTAAAGAATCTCCACTCCCCTATCCCTGATCTCTAAACCCTTAACACGAGCATTGGGTATCAGTGGGAATCTTGTCATTTCCAGGGTGTGGGTCCAAAGAAGACACTTTCCCTCTGTGACATTAATATTGCCCACATGCTGGAGGAAGAGTCTAACCAGGGGCATCTGATTGGTGATTTCTCCAAGGTGAGTCCCATATTCAGTAATTCCTTTGGCAGCTGAATCTTTTGTCCTCTGTCTTTGCAGAAACACTGAATATAATTATGTGTCCTCACTAAGCACCATTTTAAGATCTAAACCTTAAGCCCTTCCAGTGAGAAAATATTCCTTACTTCTTCTGGGAAAATCTAGAACAGTCAAGAAAGTATAAAACTTTTCACCTTTTTATAAACATCTTTTAAATTATATTAATAATATTGATCATTATAGAAAAGGCAGAAAATGAAGATTTATCCCAAAACTTATCAATCAGAATAATTATTTCTTAGTTTATATACCACAGTTTTTTCTATATATTTTCACAAACACATGCACACCTAGAAAACCCAGAAATGTTTTTTTGTTGAGTTTTTCCACAAAAATAGTTCATAATATCTTATGATCTGCTGGGTTACCTGCCCTCTGCCCCATTTAATATTATATCAGGGGTGGGACTGGCGCTGTGGCTCAGCGGGTTAATGCTCTGGCCTGAAGCGCCAGCATCCCAAATGGGTACTGGTTCTAGTCCCTGCTGCTCCTCTTCTGATCCAGCTCTCTGCTGTGACCTGGGAAAGCAGTAGAAGATGGCCCAAGTCCTTGGGCCCCTGCACCCACGTGGGAGACCTGGAAGAAGTTCCTGGCTCCTGGCTTTGGATTGGAGCAGCTCTGGCCGTTGCAGCCAACTGAAGATTGAACCATCGTACGGAAGACCATCTCTCTGCCTTTCCTCTCTCTGTGTAGCTCTGACTTTCAAATAAATAAATATTTAAAAATTATATCAGGGGCATATTTTCATATCAATAATAATTCTGTATCATCTCATTATTTTCAACATCTACATGTTATTGTATTTTTTGGCTATTCATAATTAATTTATAAATCCTTTCTTGTCGAATATTTAGTTTAGTTTTTTTTTTTTTTTTAAAGAAATTTATTGGGCCAGTGGCATGGCTTACTAGGCTAATCCTCCCCCTGTGGCGCCGGCACACCGGGTTCTAGTCCCGGTTGGGGTGCCGGATTCTGTCCCGGTTGCTCCTCTTCCAGTCCAGCTCTCTGCTGTGGCCCGGGAGTGCAGTGGAGGATGGCCCAAGTGCTTGGGCCCTGCACCCACATGGGAGACCAGGAGGAAGCACCTGGCTCCTGGCTTCGGATCGGCGCAGCACGCTGGCCGCAACCCACCGGTCATAGCGGCCACTTTTGGGGTGAACCAATGGAAAAAGGAAGACCTTTCTCTCTACTTCTCTCTCTCTCACTAACTCTTCCTGTCAAAAAAAATAATAAATAAAAAAGACATGTTAGAATTTGGGCCAGCGCCGTGGCTAATTAGGCTAATCCTCCGCCTTGCGGCGCCAGCACACCAGGTTCTAGCCCCAGTTGGGGCGCCGGATTCTGTCCCGGTTGCCCCTCTTCCAGGCCAGCTCTCTGCTGTGGCCCGGGAGTGTAGTGGAGGATGGCCCAAGGCCTTGGGCCCTGCACCCACATGGGAGACCAGAGAAGCACCTGGCTCCTGGCTTCAGATCAGTGTGATGTGCCGGCTGCGGCGGACATTGGAGGGTGAACCAACGCAAAGGAAGACCTTTCTCACTGTCTCTCTCTTTCACTGTCCACTCTGCCTGTCAAAAAAAAAGAAAGAAAGAAAGAAAGAAAGAAAGAAAGAAAGAAAGAAAGAAAGAAAGAAAGAAATTTATTTGAAAGTTGGAGTTACACAGAGAGAAGGAGAGGCAGAGAGAGAGAGAGAGGTCTTCCATTCACTAGTTCACTCCCCAATTGGCCACAGCAGCTGGAGCTGCGCCGATCCAAGACCAGGAGCCTGGAGTTCTTTTGAGTGTCCCATGCGGATGCAGGGGTCCAAGGACATGGGCCATTTTCCACTGCTTTTCCAGGCCATAGCAGAGAGCTGAATTGGAAGAGAAACAGCCGGGTCTCAAAACCGGCATCCATATGGAATGCTGGCTCTACAGGTGGTGACCTTGCCCACTATGCCACAGTGTCAGCCCCAGAATATTTAGTTTTTTTTAAAGATTTATTTATTTATATGAAAGGCAAAGTTAGAGAGGCAGAAGCAAAGAAAGAGAGAGAGAGAGAACGAGCGAGCCAGCGAGCGAGCTAGCTAGCTAGCTAGCTTCCATCCACTGGTTCACTCCCCAGATGGCTACAACTACCGGAGCTGGGCTGATCCAAAGCCAGGAGCTTCTTCCAGGTCTCCCACATGGGTGCAGGCGCTCAAGGACTTCAGCCCTCTTCTACTGCTTTCCCAGGCTGCAACAGAGAGCTGGATCAGAAGTAGAGCAACCGGAACTCAAACCAGTGCCCATCTGGGATGTCAGCACTGCAGGACGGTGGCTTTACCCGCTATGCCACAGCGCCAATCTGAATATTTAGTTTTGTAACTTTTCCTTATGAATGGTGCCAAGATGAACATAATTTATAGAGAAATCTAAAATTTGTGCACATCCTTGGTTAGTTCCTCAGATTCAGTTCTTAGAAATGGAATTGCCGCATGTGCGTTTTATAAAGGCCATTGATTTTTGAAGATTTCTGTGCTTTTAATTGTCTTTTGGAAAGAAGGACAGTATATGGGTCTTTGATCCCAAACTTGGGTATGGAATACTTGCTATTATTTCAACTCTTGGGTATTTCTAGGTATGTGTGCTGCCAACCGTGTCAGGGAGACACCAAGATCTGAAGTACATCAACCCAGAAACAGTAAGCAGATTGCTGGAGATGGCAACTGGTTACATAAGCTACCATCTGGTCTGTTCTGTCCCTAAAATCCCCACTTCCATTTGTGTTTCTTTTACTGTGTTCACTCACATAAGCTCTTTATTCAACTGTCGCTTGTACTAAAGGACCCCCTTTTATATCATTCTTATCTCTCTCTTATTTTAATCTGTTTAAAAAAGAGGGGAGGGAGAAAAAAAAGGAGAGAAGAAAACAAACTACAAAACACAAAAAAGAAAGCTCATTCAGTTAGAGTAACTGTACATCCTGTTTTACATTTTATGATCCTATTTCTAACTAAAAGGCAGAAAAACAATGAAAACATTTTTTTAAAGATTTATTTATTCATTTGAAAGGCAGAGTTACAGAAAGGTAGAGAGAGAAAGAGGGAGACAGAGAGGTCCTCCATCCACTGGTTCACTCCTTAGCTGGAGCTGGGCCGATCCGAAGCCAGGAGCCAGGAGCTTCCTCCAGCTCTCCCATGCAGATAGATGCAGGGAGCCAAGAACCTGGGCCATTCTCTGTTGCTTTCCCAGACCTTAGCAGAAAGCTGGATTGGAAGTGGAGCAGCCAGGCTTGAACCGGCACCCAGATGGGTCACTGGCATGGCGGCTTTACCTGCTAGGCCACAGCACCGGCCCCAGTGAGGATAATTATTGATACTGTTCTTGTTCATTTCCAAAATCTCCTTATTTATACAATAATTATTGGGTCATTCTACTTGGAATCTCTCTACCCAAGATAATCACAAATAATATTGTCCTTATGGCCTTCTAGATTTTATGCTAATATCTGTTTTATAAAGGTGGGATTATTGGGATGGGTATTCAGCACAGCAGTTGGGATGCTGCTTGGGATACCTACTTTCTGTACCAGAGTGCGAAGGTTCTAGTTCAGCTTCACTTCCAGTTTGTTTCCTGCTAATGCACACTCTGGGAGGCAGCAAGTGGTGCCTCAAGTACTTTAGCTCCTGCCACTCATGTGAAACCCAGTTTAAGTTCTGGGCTCCTGGCTTTGGAATGGCCCAGATCCAGCTGTTGCAGGCATTTGAGAGTCAACCAGTGGATGGAGATCGCTCTTTTTCTTTTTTTATTTTTATTTTTATTTTTATTTTTATTTATTTATTTATTTATTTATTTATTTATTTATTTTGACAGGCAGAGCGGACAGTGAGAGAGAGAGACAGAGAGAAAGGTCTTCCTTTGCCGTTGGTTCACCCTCCAATGGCCGCCGCGGCCGGCGCGCTGCGGCCGGCGCACCGCACTGATCCGATGGCAGGAGCCAGGAGCCAGGTGCTTTTCCTGGTCTCCCATGGGGTGCAGGGCCCAAGCACCTGGGCCATCCTCCACTGCACTCCCTGGCCACAGCAGAGGGCTGGCCTGGAAGAGGGGCAACCGGGACAGAATCCGGCGCCCCGACCGGGACTAGAACCCGGTGTGCCGGCGCCGCTAGGCGGAGGATTAGCCTAGTGAGCCGCGGCGCCGGCCTAATATTGTTTAAATTTAGTTAATCCTGTTTACTCTTTTTTTAATCAAACTTGTTTTGGAATATTTAATCATTTCTAATATGTTGATAAACTAAAACAATCCTGAGGTTAACGTATTGCATCTATATCTGTTTTTATTGTTAATTTTCATTTTTTAAAAATAGTTATTTATTTGAAAGTCATAGTTACAGAGAAGCAGAGGCAGAGAGAGAGAGAGAGAGAGAAAGGATGAGGGAGAGGGAGAGGGAGAGGGAGGGAGGGAGAAGGTCTTCCATCTGCTGGTTCACTCCCCAGATGGCCGTAACTGCCAGAGCTGGGCTGCTTTGAAGCCAGGAGCTAGGAGCTTCTTCCAGGTCTCCCACATGGGTGTAGCGGCTCCTTGGGCCATCTTCTACTGCTTTCCCAAGCTGTAATAGGGAGCTGGATTGGAAGTGGAGAAGCCAGTACTCGAATTGCCCCCCACATGGGATGCCAGCATTGCAGGCAGCGGCTTTACTTTCTAAGCCACAGTGCCGGTCCCTAATTTTTATTTTTTAAAGATTTATTTATTTGAAAGGGAGCTTAAAGATTTGTTTATTTGAAAGTCAGAGTTATACAGAGATGAGAGGCAGAGAGAGAGAGTTCTTCCATCCGCTGGTTCACTCCCCAGGTGGCCGCAACGACCAGAGCTGCGCTGATCCGAAGCCAGGAGCCAGGAGCTTCTTCTGGGTCTCCCACACGGGTGCTGGGGCCCAAAGACTTGGGCCATCTTCTGCTTTCCCAAGCTGTAACAGGGAGCTGGATTGGAAGTGGAGAAGCCAGGACTCGAATTGGCACGCACGTGGGATGCCAGCACTATAGGTGGCAGCTTTACCTACTATGCCACAGCGCTGGTCCCTAATTTTTATTTTTTAAAGATTTATTTATTTGAAAGGAAGAGTTACAGAGAGGGAGAGAGAAAGAGAAAGAGAGATGTTCTATCCTCTGATTCACTTCCCAATAGCCAGAATTGGGCCGGGCTGAAGCTAGGACCAGGAGTTTCTTCTGGGTCTCCCACATGGGTGCAGGGACCCAAGAACTTGGATGATTTTCTACTGCTTTCCCAGGCACATTAGCAGGGACCTGGATCTGAAATGGAGCAGCCGAGACTCAAACTGGCTCCCATATGGGATGCTCGCTCTGCAGGTAGCAGCTTAACCCATTAGTCCACAGTGCGAGCCCCTTTATTTATTTTTTTTTAAGATTTAATTAATTATTTTGAAAGAGCAACAGAGATAGAGGCATAGAGAGAGAGAAATCTATTCACTGGTTCACCTCCCAAGTTACTGCAACAACTAGAGCTAGTCTAGGTCAGAACCAGGAGTCCAGAATTCCATCTGGGTGTCTCACCTGGGTGATGAGGGCCAAAGTACGAGATCCATCTTCATTTGTTTCCCCAAGTGCATTGGCAGAGAGCTGGATCAGAAGCAGAGCAAACCAGGAGTCAAACTGGGATGCCATTATTACAAGTAGTGGCTTAACCCATTGTATCACAATGCTAGCTCCAATCTTGGAATACTTTTATGTTTACTTAAGATGCTAGAAAATAAATCCTTTTTGTGGTTCATAAGTGTGGTGATTGAATGTACACACATCTTTGTGAAATGTGCCTCTCTGTAAACCTCGTTATGACATTGGCACAATACCTGTCTGAAGTGGAAAAGAAAAAAAGATGTTAGAAAAGATTTACTGAGTCAAAGTGTAACTACCTATTTTCTTTGAGAACAAAATATTTATTTTTACTTTTTTTCTATTTACTTTTTTTGGTACTCTGTGTTTCCACAAATCAAAGAAAACATATCATATTAGTGTTTTTGAGGTGTAATTGCATTTTTGAAAATATATTTACAGGGGCTGGCACTGTGGCGCAGCTGGTTAACACCCTGGCCTGAAACCCTGGCATCCCATATGGGCACTGGTTCTAGTGTCCCGGCTGTTCCACTTCCAATCCAGCTCTCTGCTATGGCCTGGGAAAGTAGTAGAGAATGGCCCAAGTGCTTGGGCCCCTGCACCTGCATGGGAGACCTGGAAGAAGCTCCTGGCTCCTGGCTTCAGATCAGCACAGCTCTGGCCGTTGCGGCCACCTGGGGAGTGAACCATCGGACGGAAGACTTCTCTCTCTCTCTGCCTCTTCTCTATCTGTGTAACTCTGACTTTCAAATAAATAAATCTTAAAAAAAAAAAAAAAAGAAAATATATTTACAAAGTTACCTTTGTAAAAAAGACTGAAGACAGTTACACTCCTACCAGTGGCTTAACTTTCCTTCTCTATGTATCAACCTTCTTACATATCCTTTTGTGAAAGACTTGCTTTCTGTATAATGGTGGGTGGGTGGGGAATCATTTCTCAACTCTTTTTTGCAAAATCAGGACCTCTGGCTGCCACCTCTGCCACTGCAGAAGTCCTTGGGTGTCTTCTGAGGGACTGACTGCAGTCTTGCCTGCCTCCAAATGGGTACCAGTATGCGGTCTTCCTTGGTATCTTGGCAATACCAGCTATTTTATTTCTTTACAAAAACCACTTCCTATTTCATCATCTTATGTGTGATAGGGCTAAACCATTGCCACATTTCAGATACAGGCTGCCTTTGGAGGCTGGGCAGATGGTGGAATCCTGGGTGACTACTGGGAGTGTGCATGTAAGGATCTGGGTGACTGGCAGTGCTGTCCCTGAGAGTTACTGTTTCTGTGCAGGTGGCTGATTTACTATTGGGAAAGTTCCAGGGTCTGATTGAAAAGTTTTATATCATCGATTGCCGCTATCCATATGAGTACCTGGGAGGACACATCCAGGTGAGAGTACATTATGAATATTAGCAGGGAAGGGGCCAGAGATAATTCTTTATTGATAAGAGTTTGTGGACAAAGCATCCTATGGACTCTAGGTCCAGGACAAAAGTCACGCAATTGGAACACATCAAGACTGAAGTTCTCTCAAAAAAAAAAAAAAAAAAAAAAAAAAAGACTGAAGTTCTCATTCCTGTTTTAATTTTTTTTTTTTTTAAGATTTATTTATAGCCAATGCCGCGGCTCACTAGGCTAATCCTCCGCCTGTAGCACTGGCACCCCGGGTTCTAGTCCTGGTTGGGGCACTGACTAGATTCTGCCCCCGTTGCTCCTCTTTCAGTCCAGCTCTCTTCTGTGGTCCAGGAGTGCAGTGGAGGATGGCCCAGGTCCTTGGGCCCTGTACCCTCATGGGAGACCAGAGGAAGCACCTGGCTCCTGGCTTTGGATCGGTGTAGCGTGCCAGCCGCAGAGCACTGGCCAGCCATAGCGGCCACTTGTGGGGTGAACCAATGGAAAAAGGAAGACCTTTCTCTGTCTCTCTCTCTCTCACTGTCTAACTCTGCCTGTCAAAGAAAAAAAAAGCATTTAAAAAAAGACTGTGACTGGCCTGGCTGCCTAAAAAAAAAAAAAAAAAGATTTATTTATTTGGGGCCAGTGCTGTGGGTAAAGTCACTTCCTATCCAGCTCTCTGCTATGGCCTGAGGAAGCAATAGAAGATGGCCCAAGTCCTTGGGCCCCTGCACCCACGAAGAAGCTCCAGGTTCCTGGTTTCAGATCAGCCCAGCTCCTATTCCAACTGGCCCAACTCTGGCCATTGCGGCCACTTGGGGAGTGAACCAGTGTATGGAAGATCTCTCTCTCTTTCTTTGCCTCTGTAACTGCTTTTCAAATAAATAAATAAACTTTTTAAAAAATTATTTATTTGAATAGGGTAGAAACAGAGAGATCTTCCACCTGGTGGTTCATTCCCCAAGTGGCCACAATTGCTGGGGTTGGCCCAGGCTAAAACCAGTAGCCTGGAGCTCCATCCAGGTCTCCCAAATGGGTAGCAGGGGCCCAAACACTTGGGCCATCAACTGCTGCTTTCCCAGATGCATTCACAGGGAGCTGTATCGGAAAAACAGCAGTTGGGACTGAAACCACTGCTCAGTTAAGGGATGCCAGCTTTGCAGACAGCAGCTTAGCTCTCTGCTACAATGCCAGCCACCTGTTTTAATTCTTTATACCTTCAATAGCTTACTTTCCCTTTCTTTCTTAGGCCTGTCTCTCTTTTCTACAGTAGTCAAAGGGCTCCAACCTGGAAATGAAAGAATTAATATCAGGACTGAGAAGCACTCTGCAAACACTGCTCATGGACATTCCTTGTAGCGGTCCCTATACTTCAGGCAGTTTAGTTCTATGAACACTTTATTGGGCATTTACTGCATACCAAGCTCTGTGCTAGGCCCTAGGGCTAGAGACAAAGAAAGATAAACAAGGGATCTTTAGAAAGTTCATGGGAGATACATATTTGAAAAAACTTTGCTTGAATTTCAAAAATATCTTGCAATAAAATAAATGTTTCACTTCATTATTCTATGAATTTTTTGAAGTACCTTCATTCTTAAGTCTTTGCCCTGAAAGTGCTTATAATTTGGCTTTTTTGGCCCAAATATCCTAGGATGGGATCACAGCCATTTCTAAGTATTGACAGTATTTCATAGCATCCATAGGCCCTTGAGGAAATATTTAAAATTCTTCTTTAAAAAAATAAAATAAAATAAAATTCTTCTTCGGCAGGGTGCCTTAAACTTGTACAGTCAAGAAGAACTGCGTAACTTCTTTCTGAAGAAGCCCATTGTCCCCTTGGATGTCCAGAAAAGAATAATCCTCGTGTTCCACTGTGAATTCTCCTCCGAGAGGGGCCCCCGAATGTGAGTGTCTGTGTAGAGCGGGTGATTGTGCTGGATCTTAAGGTGGAGTCCCCACAGCAGTTCAAAGAGGGCAGCTGAGTGAGTGCTCTCCACCACAGCTTGCAGCATGTGAGGAAGGTAGAAGGATGGAATTTCTTTCTTTCTTTCTTTCTTTCTTTCTTTCTTTCTTTCTTTCTTTCTTTCTTTCTTTCTTTCTTTCTTTCTTTTTTTTTTTTTTTTTTTTGACAGAGTTAGACAGTAAGAGAGAAAGACAAAAAGAAAGGTCTTCTTTCCATTGGTTCACCCCCTAAATGGCCGCTATGGCCAGCACACTGCGCCAATCCGAAGCCAGGAGCCAGGTGCTTCCTCCTGATCTCCCATGCAGATGCAGGGCCCAAGCACTTGGGCCATCCTCTACTGCCTTCCCCGGGCCACAGCAGAGAGCTAGACTGGAAGAGGAGCAACCAGGACAGAATCCGGCTCCCGAACCGGGACAAGCACCCAGGGTGCCGGTGCCATAGGCGGAGGACTAGCCTAGTGAGCTCAGCACTGGCCAGAAGAATGGAATTTCTAAACCCCAAAAATTTGGAGCAGTAAAGTAAAAAGGATTAGGAGTGAGGCCCTAATGGAGGGAAGAGGGAAGGGAGGTGCTCCTTCGACCTCCCTTTGCAAAGACAGTGAGATCTGAAGGTCCTTTGGGGTTAATAAGTTTGTCTTCCTCCCTCCTTCCCCAGTGACAACGTGTCTGATAGTGCCCTTGCTGCCTTCCCCACTTATCTCTGGGTTTTCTCTAAAGGTGCCGCTCTCTAAGAGAAGAGGACAGGGCGCTGAACCGGTATCCGGCATTACACTACCCAGAGCTGTATATCCTCAAAGGGGGTTACAGAGACTTCTTTCCAGAATATACGGTAAAGGGGAGCTAACTCTTGGGAGAGCCACTTTTAGCATGCAGTTCCCAGGGCCTGCTGCTATTCCTTCTCAGCCACTGCTGGCAGCCATGTTCTGTCATGCTTGGTAGGCAAAGTTCCACAGTCTAGGAAATCTCTTACTCTGTCCTCTGCCTTTCAGGAACTGTGTGAACCACAGAGCTACTGTCCTATGCATCACCTGGAGCACAAGGCTGAGCTGCTGAAGTGCCGAAGCCAGAGCAAAGCAGAGGAAGGGGAGCGGCAGCTGAGGGGGCAGATTGCCCTGCTGGTGAAGGATGTTTGTCCCTGAGAACAGGTCAGCCACTGGCTGCTAAGGAGTCACCAAGGATACTGTAGAAACCCTGAGCAGAAAGAGGCCGTCATCTGTGCAGCTATATAGAGGCTTTATAGAGGATGTCGTCTACATAGCTTCAAGATTCTTTGTTAAAAGATGTTCACGAGCCAACGGGCTGCCAAACTGTTGTAATTTTAGGCCTGGGATTGTCTAGATTTCATCAGAGTGCTGGCTGGTGGCTGGCTGGCACCTGAGTCTTGGAGCTGACCCTGTGAAGATGTGGCCTTGAGTTCATAGAGATGTGTGTTGCTTCCAGGAGCTCCTGCAAGCCTCTGTCCAACTACTCATGGTTCCTCACAAACCAGCCAGTTCTCTCTCATGCTGGGCTTCTGCATAGGCAGAACAATTTTCCACCTTCTTTCTCTCTGTTTTCTTGTTCCCCTTCTCTCTCTCTCTCTCTCTCTCTCTTTTTTTTCAAATAGAAAATAAACATTGCAGAATGAGAAGCAATTGTGAGTCCAGACTGCTCCTAGAATATATAAAAGGGAGAGGTTACTCATTTAGACTCCTTTGGACATAGTGGTGTAACTGTCTTTGTTCACAGCTAAGACCAAAGTGCTTTTCTGTAAGCTGCTAGTTCTCAGCTGGGTCCTTGGACCATCAGCATCATCTGACTTTGTTTGAGATGGAAATTTTCAGGTTCACTTCAGACTTACTAAATCAGAACCTATTACGTTAAGGCCCAGAAATCTGAGTTTTTTAAGGTTTTTTTCTTTATGTATTTTTTAGGATTGGTTTATTTATTTGGAAGTCCAAGGGCCAGTGCCATGGGTATCAGGTAAAGCTACCACTTGTGGCACTGGCATCCCATTTGGGCCCATATGAATCCAGGCTGTACCACTTCTGATGCAGCTCTCTGCTAATGCAACTGGGAAGAGCAGCAGAGGATGGCCCAAATGCTTGGGCCTCTGTACCATGTGAGAGACCCAGAAGAAGCTCCTGGCCCCTGGCTTGGGAACAGCTCAGCTCCGGCCTTTGTGGTCACTGGGGGATTGAACCAGCAGATGAAAGACCTCCTCTCTCTCTCTCTCTCTCTCTTCCTCTATCTCTCTGTAACTCTGTCTTTTCAAATAAATAAAGTAAATCTTTTAAAAAAAAAAAAAAAGAAAAGAAAGTCACAGAGAGAGATGGAAAGACAGTGAGAGAGAGAGACCCTACATTACTGGTTCACTCCTTAGGGGGCTACAACGTCCAGAGCTGGGGCAGGATGAAGTCAGGAGCCAGGAACTTCTTTTGGATCTCCCATGTGTGGTAGGGGCCCAAAAACTGGAGCCATCTTCCGCTGCTTTCCCCAGGCCGATATCAAGGAGCTGGATTGGAAGTGGAACAGCTAGGACACAAACCAGAGTGCCAACGTTACAGGTGGTGGCATTACCCGCCACACCACAATGCTTTCACCTTTATGTATTTTTTTAAAGAAAAGATTTTTTTATTCACTTGAAAGAGTTGTAGAGGAGAGACAGAGAGAGAGAGAGAGAGAGAGAGAGAGAGAGAGAGAGATTTTCTATCTGCTGGTTCACTCCCCAGATGGCTGCAGTGGCCTGGACGAGGCCAGGCAGAATCCAGGAGCTAGGGACTTCATTTGGATTTCCCACTTGGATAGCAGGGGCCCAACCATTGGGGCATCTTCTGCTTTCCCCAGGGCATTAGCAGGGAGCTGGATCAGAAGTGGAACAATCTGGACTCAAACTGGCACCCATGTGGGATGCCACCATCACAGGCAGTGACTTTACCTGCTACACAACAATGCCAGCCCCTGTTTTATGTATTTTAATTGACAAATAATAATTGTATGTATTTATAGGTTACATTGTGATAATTCGGTTCATAAATAGCATGAATACAGTGTGTGATGATCAAGTCAGGGTAATTAACATTTCTAGTTCTTTAAAAATTTGTCATTTTTTTTTGTGTTAGGAATCTTCTAACTCTTCTTTTAGTTTTCTTTTAAAGATTCATTTATTTATTTGAAAGTTACAGTTAAAGAGAGAGAAAAGGAAAGACAGAGATCTTCCAACTGCTGGTATACTCCTCAAATGACCACAATGCCTGGGGCTGGGCTGAGCAGAAACCAGGAGCCAGGAACTTCTTCCCGGTCTCCTACATGGGTGCAGAGAGAGTTCTTAACCCACCATTCCACAACATCACCCTGCCCGCCTTTTTTGTGAGTATTTATTTTGTTTATTTGAAAGGCAGAGTTGTGGGGGTGGGGAGGGAGGGAGAGACAGAGACATCTTACATTTGCTGATTCACTCCCAAATGGTTGTAATGGCCAGGGCTGGGCCAGGCCAAAGCCATGAGACAGGAGCTTCTTCCAGGTCTTGGAGGAGGTCTTTATTTTTTAAACATTTATTTATTTTTTTTGAAGAACAGAGTTACAGAGAGGTAGAGGCATAGAGAGACCTTCCATCCGCTGGTTCATTCCCCAGGTGGCCTCAATGTCTGGAGCTGAACTGCTCTAAAGCCAGGAGCCAGGAGCTTCTTCTGGGTCTCCCACACAGGCATAGTAGCCAAAGCACTTGGGCCATCTTCTACTGCTTTTCCAGGCCATAGCAGGGAGCTGGATCGGAAGTGGAGCACCCAGGTCTGGAACTGGTGCCCATATGGGATGCCGGCACTGCAGGCGGAAGCTTTATCTGCTGTACCACAGAGCCAGCCCCTTTGGAGGAGTTCTTTATAAAAGATATAATAGGGGCTGGCATTGTGGCTTAGTGGGTAAAGCTGCTGCCTGTAACACTAACATCCCCTGTGAACGCCAGTTCCTGTCTTGGCTGTTCGACTTCTGATCCAGCTACCTGCTGATGGCCTGGGAAAGTGGCAGAAGATGGCCTAAGTGATTGGGCCCTGCCACCCATGTGGGAAACCCAGATGAAGTTCCTGGCTATTGCAGTCATTTGGGGAGTGAAGCAACGACAGGAAGTCCTCTCTTTGTAACCTACCTTTCAAATAAGTAAATAAATATTTTGTGTGTGTGATCTGTTTTCTTAAACATTTATTTACTTATTTTTATTTATTTGAAAGGCAAAGAAGCAGGTGGTCACAATAGTCAGGGTTAAGCCAGGCAGGCCAAAGCCAGGAACGAGGAGCTTCATTTGGGTCTCTCATGTGAGTGCAGGGACCCAAGGACTTGGGCTGTCTTCTTCTTCTTTCCTAGGCACATTAGCAAGGAACTGGGTTGGAAGTGGAGCAGCCAAGACTTGAATTGGTGCTTAGGGAATGCTGGTATCACATGTGGTGGCTTAACTCATTATGCCACAATGCCATCCCCATAATTATTATAAACCATAACCACCCTATTGTCTTGTCAAACACTAGAACATATTCCTTCTGTTTAACTGTATTATCCATCCCCCATCCAACTCACCATTCTATGAAATCAACTTTTTTTTTTTTAATTTGAAAGGCAGAGTTACAGAGAGAGAAGAGGCTGAGAGAAAGATTTTCTGTCTGCTGGTCAACTCCCCAAATGACCACAATAGCCCAAGCTGATCCAGGACAAAGTCAGGAGCCCAGAACTCCTTCTGGGTCTCCCACATGGGTGACTGGGGCCCATGGGCTGTCTTCCACTGCTTTTCCTGGTGCATCAGCAGAGATCTGGCAGAAGCAGAACAGCTATGACTTGAACTAGCATTCAGATATGGGATGCCAATGTGGCAGGCCACAGCTTAATCCACCGCACCACAATACTGTCTGCTATAAAATCAACTTTTTAAGCCGGCGCCGCGGCTCACTAGGCTAATCCTCCGCCTTGCGGCGCCGGCACACCGGGTTCTAGTCCCGGTCAGGGCGCCAGATTCTGTCCCGGTTGCCCCTCTTCCAGGCCAGCTCTCTGCTGTGGCCAGGGAGTGCAGTGGAGGATGGCCCAAGTGCTTGGGCCCTGCACCCCACGGGAGACCAGGAGAAGCACCTGGCTCCTGCCATCGGATCAGCGCAGTGCGCCAGCCGCAGCGCGCTGGCCGTGGCGGCCATTGGAGGGTGAACCAACGGCAAAGGAAGACCTTTCTCTCTGTCTCTCTCTCTCTCTCTCTCTCTCTCTCTCTCTCACTATCCACTCTGCCTGCCAAAAAAAAAAAAAAAAAAAAAAAAAAAAAAACTTTTTAAGTCTGGCTTAAGAAATCTGGGTTTTAAAAACTTCCTAATCCTGGTGATTTTGATGTTTACTAAGGCTTGAGAACCACTGCTCTGGAATTAAGCAAACTTTTGAAACTAGATTCTTCAGTATTATACTTGACTTTCCTTTCCTAGACTGTTCCATGGTATGAGTTACCTAAAAGTCTATCCCAGGCCGGCGCCACGGCTCACTAGGCTAATCCTCCGCCTTGCGGCGCCGACACACCGGGTTCTAGTCCTGGTCGGGGCGCCAGATTCTGTCCCTGTTGCCCCTCTTCCAGGCCAGCTCTCTGCTGTGGCCAGGGAGTGCAGTGGAGGATGGCCCAAGTGCTTGGGCCCTGCACCCCATGGGAGACCAGGAAAAGCACCTGGCTCCTGGCTCCTGCCATCGGATCAGCGCGGTGCGCCGGCCGCGGCGGCCATTGGAGGGTGAACCAACGGCAAAGGAAGACCTTTCTCTCTCTCTCTCTCTCTCACTGTCCACTCTGCCTGTCAAAAAAAAAAAAAAAAAAAAAAAAAAAAAAGTCTATCCCAGACAGTACCATGTAGTATTTAGGCTTAAAAGTTAAAGATAGGGGCCAGTGCTGTGGCATAGTGGGTAAAGCAGCCACCTGCAGTACCAGCATCCCATTTTGGTGCTGGTTCGAGTCTCGGCTACTCCACTTCTGATCTAGCTCTATGCTATGGCCTGCAAAAGCAGTAGAAGATGCCCCAAGTCCTTGAGCCCCTGCACCCATTTTGGGGACCTGGAGGAAGCTCCTGGCTTCAGATTGGTGCAGCTCCTGCCGTTGCAGCCATCTGGGGAGAAAACCAGCAGATGGAAGACCTCTCTCTCTTTCTCTCTGCCTCTCTGTAACTCTGTCTTTCAAATAAATAAATCTTAAAAAAAAAAAAAAAAAAAAAAGATAGGGATGAGTGTTTGACCTGCTGGCCAAGGTGTCACTTGGGACACTCACATCTCATATCAGAATTCCTGGGTTCCATCTCATTCCAGCTTCCAGCTAATGCATACCTTGGGAGGCAGCAGTGATGGTTCAAGTACTGAGGTCCCTCCCCTATGGAGGAGATCTGGATTGAATTCCAAGCTCCCGGCTTCAACCCAGCCCTGACCATTACAAACATTTAAAAAAAAGGGGGGGTGGGTTATGCATTTATTTGAAAGGCAGAGTGACGGAGACAGGGAAAGACACAGAGAAAGAGATATCTTCTCTCCATTTGTTTACTCCCAAATAGCTGCAACCTCTGAGACAAGCAGAAACTAGGAGCCAGAAACTCCATACAGATCTCCCACGAGGGTTACAGGGGCCCAAGCAATTGAGCTATCATCTGCTGTTTTTCAG